AAAGATGGACTTGTGGAGGCAGCTGGTTTTTAACTTCAAACCTTGTAGCCTGGATGAGGCTAGCAGTGGCACCGGTAGGAGATGATGATAGCTAGCGAATGCAGATGTTGAGGAGTGTTGTTTTGTGGAGTTTCTAGCAGCTGTGATGTTGATGAATGTAGATCATAATGATGTTGCTGGCTAAAAGGTGCCCAGCCTCTGTAGGACTGAACTTTTGCATCCTCATGCAAAATTGCATGAAAGGATCGCCGAATGGCACAACGAGGGGTGGAGCCCCGCGAGTGAAGAAGAGAGTGTGTGTGTGTGTGCTGCTTTGCAATGCTTTGAATGCCTGGACAGGCAGGTTGTGCACGCCACTTGTGTTGTGCATGCCTGGATAGGCAAGCTGTTGCACATGCCTGGATAGGCAAGCTTTTGTTTACAGATATATGCTGCAGGGATCAGGGCCCTGATCACCCTGTCATGCACCGCAGCCCATTTCAGGTCCCCTAGAACCCGGAATAGCACAATGGGCAAGAAACAAAAAACCAGCCATGAGCCGCACTCGCCGCTTTTTTTGATGCTCGTGAGGCATTTTGCACTGGGCAAGCTGTCTGCTTCAGAAATTCAGGAGTTTGCAGACTGTGCGGTGAAATCTGGAAGCTCAGCAGAAGACTTGCTGAAACTGCAGGCCTTAGGAGCCCATGGTGAATCGCCACAGAACTGCCACAGAGACATTTCCAGGTGGATCTTCAAGAACATGTGCTCCCCAGAAAGCACCAGCATCAGAACACCTGTTCTGGTCAGGGAGTTGAATGGTGAGAAGAAGATGATGGAGAAGGACAGCCCTGTGAACTTGCCCCATGCCTGGATCGACCAGCTCTCTGAGCATGGGTTTTTGGAAACAGTCATGGCTCCCGAAGCAGAAATCCGGACATTCTGGAGCAAGCAGCTCTGGAAAGAAAACCCTCAGTTCCGCCAGGATACAAAGTACTGGAAGGCCATAGATTTCCAGGCAGAGGCCCCTATCCCACTCGTGCTTCACGGAGACGCAGCTCCATATTCGGAGACTGACTCCACGATGGCAATATCGATGCGATGCATGGTGAGCAATGTGAGTGTGCAGTTTTCGCAGCTTATGCTGGTGAACATGCCGAAGAACGCCACTGAGGACTGGGACAGAACTTGGGACCCAATCTGGAAGGAACTGTCGGAGTCCTTCAAGAAGCTAGCCGCTGGAAAGAGCATCTTGCAGAAACCAGGAGCTGTTATTATATATTCGAAGATATCATCTTGTTTTAAACAATAGTTGGCCTGACTGGGATCGTTTTCCATGTCTGGAAAGACACGACAGACCGCACCGAACACCACGATCCCACCCAAACCCATGTATGAATTAGGATTTTCGTTTTGGTGAGTGTATAGTTATAGGCTTGCTTTTGACATTTGGTGACTGTATCTAGTAGGTCATTATGGAGATACTATATATCAACCATACTCCCTGTCACTGCATTCAAGGCAAAGCGAGAAGACGATGTATTATTATGTCCGTCAGCGGCGACCTCGAATTTTTCTGTTCTCAGTTTGGCTGGCCCACTAGTGCTCGGAATGACCCATGTCCTTATTGCGAATGCACCAATTTTTTCGACGAGAGCAAGAACACGCATCCATTCAACGATCTGCGACCACAGGCTGCTTGGAGATCCACACTATTGAACCCTCGAGCTGAGGACCTGAGGCAGCACCACCTCTGGAGTGTTCCGGGGGTCGGCTTCTGGACGGTCAAACTGGATCTGTTGCATTTGATGGATCTTGGCATTTCTTGCCACATCTTTGCAAACCTGCTGTGCGACATTTTGGATACACTGCCAGGGAGCAGCTTGGAGGCCAGGTTGAAAGTCTTGAACCCGAAAATTTCGCAGATATATGAAGACCTGGAGATACCGACGGCTGAACGGTTTCCGAAATTGCTGCGAAGCAATTTGATGGCAGACATGGATACCCGACTTTGAAGCACATCAAAGGCAGGACTGTTCGGAAGTTTTCGCCAGTAGCTGTACGGTTGGCCACGGAATATAGTGATGACTCGTCTACGAGATCTATGCACAGAAAAGCTTGTGTGGAGTGTTTGGACAAAGTGTACAGCATGGCAGATGAGAAGAAATGGGTTTTTTCTTCAAAGGATTTCACAGTTTTCGAAGATGCAGTGCAAGGAACATTGTCCCACTATCATTTCCTGGCGAAAGATGCATTGAAGAGGAAGCTTCTGAAATACAGCATCACCCAGAAGTTCCACCTCTTTTACCACTTCGGGCAGCAGTCAAAATATCTGACGCCGAGATGTGTTTGGTGCTATGGCCCTGAGTCGTACCTGGCGATTGTGAAAGCTGTGACTGCAAGCTGCTCTCGTGGAACTGCCAGCTACCAGGTTGTGGGAAAGGTGCTTCAAAAGTTTAGCCTGGCTTTTCACTTGCTCTTAAAGGGCTTGTTGGACTTCGACACTGAGAAGCCGGAGGACTAAAAAAGAAGGGTTCTGCAAACACCTTGTCTGGATAGACATATATAGTCTTAAACTTTTTATTTCAGTGTCTGGATAGACAATGCAGGTACCGCCGCAGCCACCGCAACTTGTCTGCACTAGGGGTCAGGGGGGCAGGGGGGCAGGGGGCAGGGGGCAGGGGGCAGGGGGCAGGGGGCAGGGGGCAGGGGGCAGGGGGCAGGGCAGTGTCTGGATAGACATGTCGCTTGGTCCTAGTGTCTGGATAGACAACCTAAACCCTGAACCCTAAGCCCAAACCCTAAATTCATGTACGTACTATATAGCTTTGAGTGTCCGTGTTTGATGATAGGACTTTGCCGATTCTTCACAGTGTCTGGATAGACACGACATATGTAGCTGTATGTATATATGTATATATGTATATGTATATATATATGTGTGTATATATATATGTATATATATATATGTATTTATATATATATATATATATATATATATATTTATATATATATATATATATATACACATACATACATACGTATATATATATATATGTATATTTATGTATATTTATGAATCTATGAACTCACGAAAATGCTGAAAAGTACATCCTGTAAATGGCAGAAGAGATAATAGATATATGGTGTTTTTGCACACATGGGAGTGCCTAAAACACACTTCCGCGATTGATTTTTCTATTGATTCCACGCTTGATTTTTCTATTTATTTTAACGACACTCTGCGATTGATTTTGTCGCTATTGAAAAAAGCCTCTCTGCGATTGATTTTGGCCTCGTTTCAATCGGCGCTTGAAAAAATCAATCGCGATTGATTCCAACCAATATTGGAGCATATGGGAAATTGGAAAACGTGGCGGCGAGGCTGAACAGGGACTCCAGGAGTTGGACTCTTTCTGAGTGTTTGCATCCCCCAGAGGGTAGATAACAATTGGCGACATAAAAGCCGCCACCTTGACATGAACACCAAAGCAACTGAACGTGAGGGTAAAGAACCTTCCACCCATCGGGAATGGGCACCTGAACAACTACGGAGCCTCCACGAAAAATGGCGGCAAGACCGCCATGGGAAGGACGTGCTACAAAGTGCTTGGTATTCACTCGCTTCACTGGTGGTTGATATCCAACGGCAATGTTCCATCCTTCCTGTTTCAGGAAGGGTAACAACGTAGATTGTGCAATCGAACCTAATCGAGTTTCTTGAAGGAATACCAATTGGACTGGAGTAGAACCACAAGTCGACAAAGAAACAAGATCATTCCTGTGGCGATTACACGAAGAAATGTTGAGCGAAACGAAGCTAACCGTAGGACCTTCACCCGGAAAGCCCAGACAAGGAGAAAAGATGGAATAGAACCATAAATGGAAGGTATGATATGAGCTAATTTGGTGCAGCATCTGGCATGAAGAATGTCGTAATGACAGGATTTGATGGTCCACACTTCGGTGGCACTGGACATCCAAATGAGGTGGGGAACGCAAAAGCAAACCAACACTGTCTGTAATGTTGGAATGCGATCCTAAGGCTTGCAGTTGAATTAGTGCGGCGAAGAGTGCAGCGCGACACTGTCTCAGAATTTTGTGAGCTCTTAGGCTCCGTTTGCGCCGTGCACTGCGAGACAGTGGCACGTGACAAGTCCCATGAAGCAAGCCTTGACTACGACTATGTTTCAACCAGGACACACGTTGCACCTTAGGAGAAAACGTGAGCTGAAGATGCGTAGTAATCGCCCAAACAACAAAAAGTATAGGACATACATATATAAAGGAGATGGCGACAAGGCATGCAAGGCTGCAATGCGCTATTAGCAAGCTCAAGATACGAACTGCGGACATTGCGCGTTGATCCCATAGGCATAGAACAATGGATAACCACCACAAGTGCGGCGTCATCCGTGGCCCTACCAGACCGTGGACGATGTTGTTCAGAGTCGGGGGTGCTTATTCGGCGGAGACTGCTTTGAGGGTGGCGAATGGTTCTGCTGCGAACTGTTAGCAGCAGAAGACATGTTAGCACGAATTTCCGAGATAGCGGTGAGGAGGTCCTGGAAGCCGCGGTTTTGGTTGGATGAAATCTCCGCGAGCTGCTGCTTGGTGTCGGCACCGTCCTTTTTAACGGCTTCGATGTCTTGCTTGAGGGTTGCCACCTGTGTCTCAAGTGCATCAACCCGGTCGGCGAACGGGTTGGGCAAAAGGGGGACAGCGGGCTTCGGGAACATCAAAGCACGTTGAGCCAACAATGGACCAGATAGACCATCACGTCCTCCTTTACCACTGCCTTTCACGTAGCCTTTGTGATTGTTTGGGGTTCTCGAAGACGAAGGCGGAATGGGAGCAATCATGCTGTTCTCCTTGCGGTTGAAGGCTTTACGCTCTACCTCAATGATCTGAATCACACCGGCGGAAGTCTGGAAGCGATTTGCTGATGGTGGTTGAGGCGCTGCCAAGAATGCCACTGCGAGTTCTCTAAGGTTGACGATTCTTGAGGGGACTGCAACAAAGCCCAAGGTCTCCAATGTTTTGACGACGTCTTTCATGGAAGTACCAGCAGGAAAACCAAGAACTTTGTACGGAATCACACACTTTGCGGCTATGTTGAAGGCGGAAAAGCGGTCATCACCTGGAAATACTGTCTCTCGAGCTTTCTGAATGTGAGCATCCTTCACGCGAAGGTATAACGAGCTTTGCGATTTGAAACATCCCAAACTCCCGGGAATCTGAGATAAGCGCACGGTAGCTTCGGCGAGGGACTCACTATCGGGGATCCGCAACACTTCAAGGCCAGATTCTGGAGCATCGTCTGGTTTGCGAACAGCTCGGAATTGAACTGATTTCAAACCAGAACGTTGGTAAACCGCATCGCGATGTTCAACAGGAACTTGGATTCTTCTGCACAAGTAACCTTCACGATGAAAAATCTTGTACAATACGCAGTTCCCAACCGTAGAATGATTTTCCAAGGTTTGTGTGACATAGTTGTGGAAGGCCTCTGGCGTACCGAATGCGGCCCAATCTGCACTAGAAGCATCAGTAGACCGGATTTCAGCAAACATCGCCACCCGTTCGATGTGAGCAACCTCAACCGCAGCCACAACATCAGGTAGCGTGAAGAAGTCGTCTGAATCCCTGGCCAGGTTAACCAGAGTGACTGCTCGCAATTCTTCTGTATCTTGAATGACATCACGCACGGTAATGGTTGTCGTCAAAACCCTAGCTTCATCGACTCCTAGCCTCAGCACTTTCATTTTCACATACCCACGAAGAACAACCATGCACGCTGAGTCGGTTCTAATGTGCGAAATGTTCTCGAAGCTCGCAAAGGTGGCGAATGTGATACCAGCACTGGACTGATGAATTTGCTGTATCGGCCATGTGTCTTCAGGGATTGTCCTCGTAGTGATGGGCTGGCAGATTTCGCTTGGATAAGCAAGTCTCAACCCTGGTTGTTCTGGGGTACTCTCCCACCTAGCTCGCCGGGCACCTCCTCGTAAATGTCCGGTAACACAAAGGTGGCAGTCTGGCCCCGGAAATGTATCAACTAGCCTATCCGAAGACCTAAGCAGCTTGGCAAACGAAGTAACCCGATCACCAGGTTGACAAAAGTCCTGTAGAATCTGCCCGATTGTAATGCCCGCGTCGATGTGAATCAAAGACGTTGAGTTCTCCCTCCGAAGGAAAAGGTTAAAGCAGCAAGCGGAAGAAGGCACGTACATTGCGGGATGAACCATCTGAACGAATCCCAGGGATCCGAGACAACAATAAACGATAATAAGCAACAAGAAAACCTTCATAATACCGGATGCTAGGAAGGGACCCTAACAGGTACAAGAATAGATGGGATATGCAGGGAAGCAATCAAAGCAAAGGCCGACTTGGTTAGAGTGTCCCTACTCCGTAATAGCGCCTACCACGTAAAGGTGTCAGCCAAAGGGAATGTCTGTGTCACGCCTAACTGCGAGCCACACGCTAGGAAGGAACCCTACTAAGGACCCAAGGTTTCTTAATCAGGTTCCTGCATTATATCAGGTGTCCTGGCAAGGGAATAGGTGATACGTGTTGGCAAGGCTTCTGGTGTATTTTACAGTTGGATGGGAATTCCACTCTTTGATTGCCGGTGTAGATTGGAGTGGCTACTGGTGTATATAGTAGGTATTATACAACTAGGGTTTAGGGCTTAGGGCTTACTTACTACTTATTACAGAACCCAATAAGCCACAGAAATACCAGATTAAACTTTCCGCTTCCTACTAAACTATAAGAACCCAAAAAAGTTAAAGCTTACCTAAAGTCTCCATTGTAGTTCCTTTTTTGGTTTAACCAAATATATAAATAGGATCTTACAAGGTAATCCCAAAAAGGAACTACAACGGAGACTACAGGTAGGTACTGGGGACCTACGATTGTTTAGGGATCCTAGGTTTCAAGGCCCATACCTCGTGCAGGATCTCAGGTCGTTGCGAGTATACGGGCCCTAATCGGTTTAGGGTCCAGGGGGCTTAGGAGTTTAGGGTTTAGGGGTTAAGGGGTTTAGGGGTTCAAGGGTGAAGGGTTTAGGGGTGTAGGGTTCAGGGCAGCCTTCAACCCGTACTAAACCCTAGTCCCACAACTTCCTCAGCCCCTAGTGAGCGCTCATCCTATGAATTCGTCCGAAAGGCGATAAACTCCCGAAAGGGATCGAAACAGCTATGGATCGTCCCATCGACGCATTTGCTATACCTGGCCAGATGGGTTCTTGGCGTTGTGGCTCAAGGATGAAGATATGGGGATTTCCGAAAATGGGGGACCGTAATATAATACCCTAAATAGTAGGATCCTTATTATAAGGACCCCCAAATAAGGCACCCCTAATTTTCGGAGACCCCCATATGATAAGTTGCTAGGGTTCCTCTTTCAGCGGCAATCTAAGGGCCGACTCTGGCGCGTTGCATGGAACCCAAATCCATGAGGCCGAAAGCCTGTGCACCTCGAGCTATGCAACCGTTCGATCCCCACCCCCAGTTCAAA